ATCATTGTGTTACGATGCTCGGTGGCACTCCAAACAGCCGCTATATAAAGATGAATATGTCTACAACCAATCGAAAGTTCGGAGATCTCTGTAATTAATATGGAGTAAATATAAAGCTTATGGTACGGTCGTATAATAATAATTTATTCATTTGATATTCTTCATCATGATAATTAATCAATTAATCATAAGCCTAGGAAGCAATAACTTATTTACCTCAACAAATAATGTACCGTGAACTCTTTAATAGAAGACTAATAATATGTGATGTCATAGATGTTTCCTGTCTAATATTTGATTAATGGGAAATGTGGTCCACATGCATAAAGCGCATGCGACATGATTTACTTTTTGAGAATTTGTAAAATCTCATTATCTGAAGGCTAAATTATATGAAAGCTAAATTATCTGAAGGCTGAATTTTTTAAGGCTAAATTTTCTGGGAACGCAGCCGTGCACCACCAAATTTGCGCACCAATCAGCCCTGAAAGGAACGCATAGAATATTTCCAGATGAACACCAATCAGCCGCGGGTTAAGCCATCCGTCAGTAGCCAGCCCATGACATCATCTTGCTTTAAATATTAGGAGCTTTATACGCCTCCATATCCTGAAGCGAATAGCCCAGAGTGTAAAGATCATCCACCACTGAACGTTGCAGCGAATCATCACCTTACACCCTGACTTTAGCTCGAACTGTAAACAGCGGACAGTGGACTGTGATCAATCAGCACAGCTTGCCAACGGAACAGCATGAATCTAGTAGTGCACCGTTAGACGGTCACTTGTAGCTCACAGTATCTGGGGTTAGGTTTCAGATAGCATAGTTCTGTTCCAAAATTTATCGTCCTATAGGACGAGTGGCTGTTCGACCGTGGGCTGATTTGACACACGGGACAGATACGGACGGCTCCGGCGCGTTCCGTCCGGGTGGTGAAGAATTTTTTCGCGTATTGGCGGACGATGCTGGGCCATACTACGTTAGGCTATTTTCCTGTGGGCTGATTGATCTAATTCAATCTATGTGATCTGTCTGGTGGCTTGCGGCTGATAATGTTACAGTCAAGAAGTGTTATAGGCTACGTTCACGCTTTCCATCACAGTTTGTGAGATCTTATCCTTAAAAATATAATCAATTCCAACGGAATGGCAAGCGATAGAAAGTAACAAAATTTGTCTAGAAATAAACTCGAGAGCTTGAGCGAAATATAAGCAAATACCAATTCACTCCTCATTTGTTTGACCTCTTCAATCTTTTGCATGATTCAGGCTTTTAATTTTATTTCATCTCTTTCTATGTTATTTTTTCACGACAATCCTAAAACGCAAAAAACATGCACCGTGCAAGCATCCCCATAGTAACTTAACATAACCTAGTCTGAAATGAATAAATAATTGAAGATACGGGGCAACTAGCCTTTGTGTAATCATATTTTACATCATATGATGATAAGTCCAATTTATACACTAATATATTTAGTTCATTTTTAACAATTCATCGGTATTACATGTAATTATTCTTCCGTTTGCGAAGAATATCTGCGCCGAATGACTTAGAGTTGCCAAAAAATATACATTTGTTTCGTTCTATCTTATGAATCGAGTTTATTTTTCTACAGCCGATGAGAAGAAGCCTGATAGAGGATCAATCTCATCGTTCGATCAACACATTGATCGCGCCAAGTCGTTGTTGAAATCAACAGTATTTCTTTCGAAGCAGCATATCAAGTAAGACGAATTTAGGTTTTAAACATCGATAACCTATTTTAGATAAAAAATTCTATCAAATGCCATTGAAACAGTCAATATTGAAAAGAAACTATATTTTGCATACGATTTTTAAATGAAACTAACAGAATCTCTTATTTCTAATAATTTTTACATATGAAACGAAGGTTACTGAGAATTACAAACATTTTTAATGTTATGTGGGGGTATCATATATTAAATTGAGATGGCTTGAGTCGGAAGCATCATAATTATTCATGTTGTTGTAATGTATGTTAAGCTGATTAGAATAGGAAAAAAGTAGTTTCTATCACGTCATATATTTTAAAGTTGGACACTCGGAGTGATTACTCCACCAATTTTACGTTACGTTCAGGTTCAGGTTCAAGATATTCATTACTAATCGTTTTGTCCGGTTGACGTCGAGTGGCGCTTGATAGGCACGGATGAAAAGGTTCTCTTTTGAAAAGGTTACGGCAAAAATAGTACAAAGAGAAGGTTGTAATGAAACACTGATACATTTCATATAAAATTGAAAATGCAAGTTTCACATCCTACGTTAACAATAATCTCTAGTACATGAAATATGTAATCTGAACACAACCAAAAGTCCAAAACCTATCAGATTACATCAATTAAATCATCTAATGTTACCGGAAAAATGCTGATGCGTTGCAGTTCCGTTGAGCCGTACGACAGTTGTAAACGACCGTAACTTGCGCACACGTTTGCGGCCGTAGGTTCAGCGGCCGTACCGCTGCTGTATTCTCGCGTCCGCTTTCAAAGTTGCTCCTTCTTCATGGCCGTATTTCTCGCGCTTTAGTGATGTCTCGTGGCCGGTCTAACCGTAGAGTTATAATGACCGTACTTCGGAATAGTGGTGTTCGTCTTCCAAGTCCGTTCCAAAATGCTCCAAGTCCGTTGCCGTACTGCGGTCGAAGATGACTGTGACCGTACTGCTTCTTCTGATGAAATTTGTGACCGTATTATGCTGATGACCGTCCCGATGATAATTCTTGCGCCGAGCTCGAAAACTTGAATCTTCTGATGACGTGCGTTATAATCGTTGTACAACTCTTGCTCTCTCGCATTGTCTCTCGGCGGAGTCGCAGCCGTAGTGTTGATGTTGATTTTCTTGACGTGCTCACCGGACTCGTATAGCTGCCTCGATAGTCTAGGTTTCTCGCGACCGTCAATGTTCGAAAAGACAAACCGCCGGCCTCACGGCCGCGGCCGTTACAAAGTTTGCTGACTGCAGACCGTGCTTGCGTGACGGTCACCTCCGTAGAACCAACCGTTGGCGCCAATTTTAAGGTCCTTTTATAGGCAGCAGTAGCGCACAGTTAAGCCTATACCCTCGAAGTGACGCCGCGACGGTTGTGAGTTCCACAAGGTCAGCACCGTTGACCTTTGATATCCTCGCCATTTCAAACTATAAACAAACCCTCGGTCTCACGATCTCGAGAACCATAGCACCTTATGCATGCTTTACGCAGTTTCACCCCAAATTCCTGTAGCCTTCTCAACACTTCACTTTTAGTTTCTAACTTCCAATAACTTTCTTAACTCAAGTTATTAATTACTTCACCATCACACCACGTTCTATACAGCATAATATAATTTTAAGTCAGAATTACTGACGCTCTAATCAAAGATTTTATATAATGGTAAGTTGATGTGACACTCATGACATATGTTTTTAAATTATTTTCCAGGTTTCATGTACTAGTGAATTCTGATGAAGTGATCAGAAGAATTACTTCCATGGTGCAGTTTTGGCCTCCACAACAACGCAATAAAATAACTTTTAAGGTTTGAAAAATTGTCCGTACGTGGATACGAAGTAAATTACTCACTATGCATTCGTCAAATGAATCAATTAAGCATTATTCATTCATAATGAACTAACAGCTGAGTCAGTCGAGACCGGTAATAGATAAAATAATTTAAAAATGAAATATAAACTTTTCCAAAATCCCTTTAATTTTAATCCTGTAGATCCAATTCTCTTAATTCAGACTCCCGTTGTTAATTCACAAACGAATGTAATAATAAAAGTTACACCCATTCAAACTCATTGTTAGTTTATAATTCCAGTGCAACTTCAGTTTCGAAGTTTAAAGAAAATTTTCGTTTAGGCCTATTATTCTCATCAGGACAAAAAAGAACACGCAATAAAAAACTAAATTAAACTAAAAAACATGCAATTCCATATTGGACATAAAATAATTATAATTTACTTTGAATTTAAATCATAATTTTCTCAAAAAATTCGCGATACTCTATCACATTCAGTCTGAGGTTGATCCCACAGGCTTTAGAATATTGTCCCACGCCTGCTATAAATTGATGTATCGGTTGAGCACATTTTAGAAAGTGCATTAATAAAAATCTGTTTTCGCATATTCTTGTAAAATTATTCATTATATGAGACTATCCTATGTAAAAATATAATCTCTAAAGGATTGACGAGACTCGCCTTAGTGCACACTATTTTAGCCTATATTAACTAAATTTAAAGTCTTGCATATATCATTATATGTAACAACAGAATCACGTTAAACACTCGTATGCCACATAACTCGTCAACATGAACATATGTTGACTGAATGCGATTAGTATTTAAAAAGTGAGAAATATAATGATTAATAAATACGTAATTGTATTAAATAATGAAATGTAGCTTCTCTTTCCCTCAGTTTAGAAAAGTCTCTTCTCATCCGACGCTGGAAGTTGTGGAAAGAAAGAGACTGATGTGCAACTCTAACAAATTAATTTTTGAAAAGATGTACCTTGAGGAAGACGCATTAATCTACTTAGATACGGACCTTGTGTTCCTGCGACCCATAGAAGATCTGTGGAGAGCATTCAAAAATTTCAACGATGATCAGTTGTTTGGAGCTGTAACACCTTTGTGGAGAATCTTCAGTGACAAACCTTTCACCGAGCTTGAAAAGGTTTGTTTACAATATTATAATCACTACGTTTCCTGCAAAATTAAAAGTAATGATATTCGCAAAATTTTAAATCCATTAAAACTAATCATTGTCTGACGTACGAAGGTAGGGCGAAGGTTGATCATTCATGTATTTTTGATGTATATCAGTATAAAAAGAATCTTAGAAATCTATTCACCCCTTAAAATTGCGATAGCTACTTTAAGCAAATTCATGTGTTATAGCAAATTCTTGGCTATAGCAAATTCATGTGTGTAAGTAGTTATGATAGAAATGATCCTAAATTTATGATCAAATTCGTTGGAAAGCGTTAATTCTTGTCTTTAACCGATCGTAACAAGCGCTAAGTTATTCCTTTAACAGTTCGTAGAAAGTGCTAAATTATTTTTTTACCAATAGTAGAAAGTGCTAAGTATTCTGGCTAACTGATCGCAGAAAGTGACAAGATTTTTCGTTAACAAATCATAGAAAGTGTTAATTTTTCCTTAAACCGACCGTAGAAAGTACTAAGTTTTTTCTATAACTAATCGTAGATGATCAATTTCGCGGGACGGGGTTTCAACTCTGGTCTTCTGCTCCTCAATCTTACGCGCATCAGGAGCCAGGCTGAGAAATGGCAGGCCGCCCTCCAGTCGGCTTTGGAATTTGCTAAGCCTTTACTTAGCGACCAGAGAGTTTTCAACGTTATGATGAATTTGGTATGAAAATTTTTGAAGTGAATTCAATTTACAATAATATTGGTGATTTCATTTTTTAAATTTAACTTCTAAACCGGAAAAATAATGAAAATTTACCTGTGTAACTGAATTTAACTTTCCAGTTTGTTTCAGAATTTTCAGGCTATTTTTTTTTATTTTTACAGGGGAATTTTTTGTGTGTTTAGTATAATTGATTAAATTATTTGACAATCAATTACGCGTTATCCCAAAAAATTCACATATAGTTCTAATATCATGAGTAATAAGGTTTGATTTCATATCCTATAATATGATTAATAAAGTTCATCGTAGAAAGCTTAATTAGTATATTTTACATACGCAAAAATGTATCAAACTTGATATTAATGAAATAACGAAAACTAGTTGCTGTAGTTAAAAATTTCACGTTCATTTTTAAGTGAATATTCATTGCCTTCATCTTATAGGTAGACGTACGCATTCAATTGTAATATATCATTACTGATAAATTCCTAATCAACTGCACAGAATCCTGAACATTTCTACGAGATGGACTGCGAATGGAATTTCCGCAGAGGTTACTGCGAAAACATCACCCAACGTTGCCCGGGGATGGTAGTCAACGGCGTCAATGTCGTACATGGGAATAACGGCGCGTTTTTCAGTGGCGAAAATACTCTTTTCAAGGTGAGCTTATCCGCTAAAACTATTTGACCATTGTTTCAAAATAAATTCGTAGGCGCAGAAGGAAAATTTAAACCATTTGGTTCTTTGTTGCTTTTCATTTTGTCAAATATATTCCGGAATGTTATGGAAACAAAATATCTCATTCAATCTATTCATTGCTCAAAATAGTTTACAAGTTGATATTTTCAATTTTTCCACAAATGACATCGACAGATTTTTCATTTTTATCTAAACTTAGTGCAGAAAACAATCTTCGAACTTTTTGTATTATCCATGTAACAGGTTCTGAAACTGACTCGGAAACAAATGAATTCGTATTGTTTACATCATTGATCAAATGAGATCGAATTTACTCATATAAATCATTAGTTCATGCCTTATTTAGTGTCAAGCCTAATAGATGCAGGATATTTTTTTGGAAACATTTCGTTCCAAGTAAATTTTTATTTTTTCAGCTTCTTCACGAATACTGGAGAGATTTGGATATGTCCAAGTCGCTCAGCACTGTGATTAGTGAATTGAAAGCCATCTTGCCTGACGCCGTTCTGAAGGATCGCTCATGTCATTTTGTGAAGGGACTACATGAAATGCTGATGAAACATTTGAAGTTACTCGACGGCAAGCTGGTTAACTAAATGCACGACCAAAAAAGGCTTCGACATTGTGAAACTCTAAACTCCATTCTACGCTGCTGAAATCATAATCTTAATAAGATAATATTTTGTGTTATTAGTTTGAATCTGTGCTTCGTAATTTCAGCACACTTGACTATCAAATTATAGTTTGATAGAGTTAGAGTTATTTTATAGCTATTCAGTGGAGTTGACTGTTACATCCCACATATAACGTAATTTTACAATATTTAAAAGTATTCCTAAGTTTAAAACTTCCCAGTTAGTTGCAGAATGATATGACCAGAGTTATAGTGAAATATTTATTCTCCTATCAAAAACCTCTTATTTAGTAGTTTTACTTTTTATTGTAGTAGATAAATATTTTGCCTTATATTTAATGGTCTTAAAACTTCTTATTTACTGACTGAAGTAAATCAAAGTTGCACAAAAACGTTAAAGTTAATTTACTGCACAAAAACATGAGCGATATCTAGTTCTGTACGGCTATATCAATATATACGTATGACCACTTTCGTTATACCTTGTTCAGTTCTGGACTTAATTAATGACTTCTATTTCTGTAGTAATTTATCCGCCTAACGGTAGCCCCAATTCCGTTCCAAGGAAAATTGATCCTTCAATGAAAATTTACTTCATACAGTCACCGTAAATCCTGCACATTCAGAATCTAATTAGAAATAGTCCATATTCAAAGGAAATCAGATATTAAACCGAGCCTATATAGTTGGTTAACCGTGCTGGTGGTGGTGACGAAGTTTGCATATGATTAAATGAATTATTTATTTTATTTTTATCAATAACTTTATTATTATTTAATTTTGTATTTAAAGAGACATGGTTCACTATTCCTTATAAAAATGGATTGAAAAAAATGCAAATTTTACCACAAATTGAATCTAAGAAGAGCGTTTATTACACAGCTTATTTAAAGAATTATTTGTTTCAATAGTTCTCGGCGTTCGAAACCTAGATACGTAAGATAAGTCATGACAACAATAAACGTTAGCTGAAATATTTTCAATGCTAATATCAGCAAAATAAGGCAAAATCTAAGGCACAAAAGGTGTTAAATATCGTCATAACTAGCAGCTTAGGCTAATTCAAAATAATATGTCCTGGAAGCAAAATCAGTTTCTCATAATATTTTAGTAATACATGTAATCTCGAGTGCTATACTGCCTCAGATTGGCTTGAGCAAGAAACTGGTCAGCTGGTAATGTTATCGCACTTAGACAAATTACACCCTGGCCAAACATTGATTACTCACATCAATTTGACGGATCTGACATGCACCAGAAACTGAATTATATTCTATTAATCAACCGATAACTGCTAATATAAAATAGGTTGTCATACAATATATAAAAAATAGCGAGCAAATCAAAAGAAAAATAATAAATTCTGCTCCAGGTAAATAATGACATCAGCACATCTAGATCCAGTTAGTGAATAACTTTACTTAATTTCCATCGCTGTGGCTATTGAGACTGGATCTGTCTAGCAAAACCTATTGAATTGTAGGCTACAAACATCATTTACTTCATTGGCATATAACCACTTGAATGACCTGGTCAAGCAGACTCTAAACTCCACTGAGGGAATACAATGTCAGGCAAGCATGATGAACGTGAGATGAATAAAACAGATTGGCAGCTAATTAATGACGAATCAATCAAATATTCATTGCAATCGTTACAATAGAGCAATCGGGCACTCGATTTTTCTCACTTGAATTCTGTCAGGCCCATAACGAGCTTTGGATTCACGTTTGCAAATGGCGTTCGCAGTCACCCACAAGTTTCCTAATTTA